ATGACAAATGAGAAATATGAGGGAATGCTGCAGGCATAGAAACATAAAATCTGGAGGCTTAAATATCTATCTAGATGTGATATTCACAGAAAGGGTAGAAGAAGATACTTTTAAAACATTAAGAACATTGAGAATAATTTTTTTTTTTAAAAATCGAATCATCTCATATATACTTTGAGGAACCATTATTTTGAAAGCGCATAGCAGGACCAGTTCTTGTTTGATTGGCAAGCAGACTTCAAAATACAGGCTTTGCATTATTCCTGACAAAGTATAATCTCTGCTATTTGTTTTCTTGGAATGTCCAGCAGGTACAGTCATGCACAGTGCACGTCTGTCTTACTCTCTGTTTTCCCTAAAATATTCATCATTATATTTAACCGTCTAGAATGGCATGGCAGAAAAATGCAAAACACTGGAAGAAAGAGCTGCAGCCAAAAAGGTGTTTTTGTAATCCTTTAAATCTAGTGTTGTAAGAAGAATCCCCCTATTTATCTTAGTTAATCTGCAGACATACAACTTTCTTCCGTTATAACAGCTGGTGTGAAGGTTATGCTGCTTTGAGTGTTCCTGTATTACAGGTCACACAAAGTAAAAAAAAAAGAAAAGAAATATATTCACAAAAGCATCCAATCACTGTTAAACTGGCAACACATCCTCACATCAGTATCTACAAATTCAGGTACTTCCCAAATACCAGGCTCTGAGCTGGGACCTTTTCTTTTTACAGTTTGCGTGCCCCTCGTGGTCAGACTATCTGCCATCATGGGCTGAGCTTCCACTGCCATCCTGATGATACACAACTGTATCTCAGCACCAAACCCTCCAGTCAGTTCACTTCTCTGTCTCTCATTAAGTCCCTGGATGACATCTAAATCTGGATGTAATCCAGCTTTATCATATTGAAAAACAATACAACTGAACTTTTGTGTCAAGTCACGACTCCTGAAAGGGGCTGACCTTCACCTTAACATGGGTAAAGGTCTTTAGTTTTCAGAGGTTCTCAATCTGGGTGCCATCTTGGAGCCCAGGCTCTAATTCTCATCATATATCAGATCCATCTCTAGAAGTTCTTTCTACAACCTAAAGAACATCTCTAGAGTCTGACCTCATCTCTCAGAGTCCTCAGCTGAAACAATCATCCATGCCTTCATCACCTCCTGCCTGGATTATTGCAGTGATATCCTGTTTGGTCTACCAGACAAAGCTCTGCACAAGCTCAGAACTTACATTTCTTACCTGCAACAAGTCCTGGACTTACATCACCCCCACCTAACCTACAAACCACCACATGCTCTTTCTCTCCTGTACTTATTCAATCTTATCCTCCCTTCCCTACACCCCACACTGCGTTCCCCAGTTAAAGGGTTACTCGCCATCCCCCTCACCAGGCCGGGGTCTTTTAAAGGACAGAGCCTTCAGTGCTGCAGCCCCCGACTCTCTGGAATATGCTCTCCTCTAAAACACCCTGTCTTTGAACATTTTCAAAAAGCAGTTGAAATGTTACTTATTCGCAGAGGCCTTTGACCTTTGACTTTTTTTGTGTAAAGGTGCTATATAAACTACTAAATGTCACTGAACCAATGGCACCTCTAACAGTGGTGCGCATACCTCAACTTGACCTGATATTTGATACAAGAAACCCTGGCATGTCAGATCCCTGTTCCCCTCACCACAGGGCACATAATGTGGCTGCACTCCAGCCAAGAAAATCTGCGCTCTGCATCAGTTGTTGTGAGCTGGCTTACTGACATGGCTAATATAAGTCACTTCAAAAGAATGGGGCCATCATTAATGACCCTGGGCTCCCACTTTTGTCTGGTACGCCGAGTCAGAAAGGGATTAACTCTGCAGTAAACGTTGCCACATAAATCGTGTCCGGGTAGCGCAAACTCTGATTTTCAAGAGGAGCAGACTACCCTCACGTTATCAAATTATGTTTTGTTTTTTTAATTTCAAATGGGCTTTTTTCTTTTCTAAGATTGTGTCCTTTAAGGGAAATCAGTGCTTCTCCTGAGCAGTTAGGCTCGACTTTATGCTGTACCCCAAATATTTTTGGCTTGCGGACAATAACAATAAAAAGAAAAGTGAAAAAAGAAAAACAATGGCTAACATAATAATAATAATAATAATAATAATTAATAAATAAATAAATAAATAAATAAATAAATAAAAATTCCAGCTTGTGTACACAATCAGTAAATTAATAACCATCATCCAATCATCCAAGGTCAGTTGGAGTACATTCACTTTCAATACTTCAGGGATCCTTTTACTTAAGTAGAAAGATTGTGTTGTTACTTTTTTAAAAAGCCCCAAACTATTGTTTTTGACGCTTTGCAAATCACAGCAATCCATTTTAACTTCTGGTTACACATCCTCATTTCCGGCACCTCCTCCCCCTGTGTTGTCCTTTGTTCCTCCTTGCACCGCCCACTTAAAAAAATCATGAACACCCCTACTTCAAAAAATAAAAAACAAAAACAAAAACGTACAACTTTAGTAACACCGGAGGTGAAGTTAACTGCAAGTTACTGGTAGCACAGTCCATTCACGCTGATCAGTCCTGTTGGGGAGCAGGTTTGCATGTAAGATAGGCGGAACTAATCAGGAAATGTGGAGCAGTGCTATGATAAGATAACTTGGATCTCTGACATTTAGCACATATACGCGCACGTATATAATGAGTCGGTGTTGGTATTTGCATACAGGGCTGTGGTCAATGTGAAGCCTGTGTGGCGTGAGGAGTCTTTACTTCCGCAAATATATGCTTATTTTAAAAAAGGCTTCGGTCTATCCTTACGAGTCTTACAGCTAACCTTTAACACACATTAGCTATAAAACTGAACTGAAACGTAGATATCCCAGTAGTGGGCTGTTAGCCACGCCCCCCATGAATGTTACGTAAGCCGCACGCGTGCACATATATTCAGACGGAAACTTCACGGTGGTTGGTGTTTTCCAGGGTTGTAGCTGTGAACTTTGGTTGCTTCGTCAAGGTGAGTGTGTTCATGTTTATTGTAATTCGTGCGCTTTCAAAGCAGCCCTGACGAGTCATGGTGCTGCTGGCGTTTCTCGTTTGACCTTTCGTTTGTGAGACGTCCTTTATCTGCGCCGGTAGCTGCACGGCTAATTTTCTCCTCAGGTGTTCGAGGTAATTGTGTGATTAGAGGGTCTGAAAATGGACACTTTGTTTTATGTGTTAGCCGGGGGAAGAAACGCATGCGTTGCCTTTCTTACCAAAATAAAAGTGTAATGAGTACTTTTATGAGCCACAATATATTTCTAATTAATTTTCCAGGTCTGTCAGGATGGTTGTGCTTTCCAAAGACTATGGATATGTGGTGCTGACTGGCATGGCCAGTATGGTCATGGTTACACATCTGGCCATTAAAGTTGGCAAAGCCAGGAAGAAGTACAATGTGCACGTAAGTATT